ACATATATGTATATGTATATGTATATGTATATATACTACATATATGTATATGTATATGTATACATACATATACATATATTATATATATATATATATATATATAAGAATATATATGAATGTATATGAATACACAGATCTATTGCCATATTTATAGATAGCTCTATATATTTTCGGTTGTATCTCTTTTAAGTTGATGTCATTTTTTATTGACAAGAATTGTTGCATATGTTAAGTGGGTATAACAGAATATGGGTATATATAAAAAACCACATACCCGCATTGCATGGGGATGTATGGTCATCATATAATATAGCATTTTACGGGTATATACATGCTCGCAAACACATGCCTGTAACTGCACACTTTCAACCAAATTTATGAGAAGTGTAGGCAGCTTCGGAAAAATGAATCAAGCTCCTGTGAACCAATACTTGTAGCAGTGGTATAACATATGCCTTTTTTACCTAGACGTAACCCCCAATACCGTAATTTGCAGGTTTGCGAGCTGCTCAACATCCCCAACAACCCAGCATCGGCATACGGCATTGCGCGTAACAAGCACAGTTCTCGAGTGGCGCTGGCCGAGGCTGGTAATTAAACTCTGTTGCCGTGATATATGTACAGATATATATATATATATATATAATATAATATAATATAATGCTATGGAGAGGATGTACCAAACATTATGATTGTTGGTTTCCAGTATCAACAGCAGTTTCATATTTTTTTGTCGCATTACTACAGGCGAGTATATATTCTGTGCAACGGCCGCTTCTATTGTGGTGCACTCGTAGCCCTACATCACTGGTTCTTTTTTTCTGTTTGGTTTGTTGTCTCCCATAATTTAAGCCTCCACACATGTGCTACAGGCATCGAGCCTGTTTCTTCTTCTCGTTTTTCTGTTCTTCTCAACTGCAAAAATCACCTCTACTCTGGTCGTCTCAAGGTCTACGAACACCCAAGAGTGCCACCATGTCTTCGTTGGATGATGTCGATGAAGCCATGAAGAAGGTCCCCTTCCCGTTGGTTGTAAAACCCACCGCGTATGTGTTTTGTTGTTATACACGCATCAGTGTTGATATTGAGTAGCAGAGGTGTTAAGCACGTGCTGTATGGTAGGCTAAATTTACTATCGTTTATGCTTGGATGTTTGGTTAGAGTGCGGCTATCGTCCTTCAAAGGAAGATCGCGATCATTATCAATATTGAGATTCTTGCTGTAGTGTGAAATGCAACGTCTCTGGGCAGTGCTTAACTGTCGCGTGATCCACAAATCTTCGATTCATTTGCACATGCATATATGATCCTTCGAGTTGTCTGGCATTGATCTGAAGTTCATTCAATCACGACCCTCGATACCGTCGTAGTGGTATGCTGTGCTATAGATAATGTGCAGTCAATCTGTGCGAATTTTCGAGCAATCCATGCCACACTCATGCGTATGCATAAGCAATTAACGAAGTCAATTTATTCACCGTTCGCATTTCATCATCGCGTGGGTAGCATGCGCTACTTTCCGTACTTTGTATTTCAGATATGTGAGGTGTGCCTTTGCGGTGGAAACTCATACAAATCATACGGGCTATACCAAACGCAGTGGTGCTGGTTCGATGGGTGTATTCAGAGCTAACACCGAGGATGATTTGAAGATGTACGTAGGAAGAGTCTTCGAGGAAATTGCAAAGAGGTGTGTGTATACGCTGTTGTTGTCTGTGGCTTTGTCTGTTTAGTCGAAATCAGGTTCAGTGATTACGGATACCTTTCCAGCAGAATTTCGGTGTTTTTTTCTCTTCGGAATTAGATCCACCATTGGTATCTAATGCATACTGCCTTCCTTTTTGTTGGTGTTGATGTTCCCCAGTCAAATCTTGGCCCAAAATCCTGGTGTCTCAAATGAGGCCCCCTGCATGATCGAAGAGTTCCTTCAGGTATGTTTTATGAAGTTGCCACGATTGGTTCTAGATCTAAATCACACCCACCTTGTGCCAAAGATGAACTCAATGAATCGCTTGACGCACAAATCTACATACCATCGAGGACTCTGACTTAGACAAACTTTAAGTGCCTGATAATTCTGGAGTCGCGTGCCTTTTTTTGTCGTATCAGTCCACGTCCACTAATGACACCCTGAATTTTCTGAATTTTACAGTTCAGGTAAAAGCTTGCTATTATCAAACCAGCGACTCACAGGCGATAGTTTTTCCATGCCATCTTCCATAAATCATCCAGATGTCCTTTTGTGGAAGCTAGGGAATGCGTATCAGATCACTTATCTTTAATTCCGCACATTATAGCCCAAGAAGTTCGGAAACCTGCCAGTTGGAGAGTTCGATGTCGATGTGCTGATGTGGAATGGAGAGTCCGTCTACGCACGTGTTTGTGACAACTGGCTGCCAAGTCCTCCGGTAAGAGAGAGAGAGAGCCATTTCAAGCACGACGCATGACGTGCGCCGATTTATTTATCTGATATCTATTAATACCGAGCACGTAGAGAGTTGCGTTTCTTAAATATCATGTGTTGCTGTAGTAGTGTGTATCTGTGCATACGAAGAGTGACAATTTAAGACTGTTGATTCTTGTTTTAGGAATGTTCTTTGAAGCTTTGCAAATAACGTTTTGCTGCCAATTTCATTGCTTCTTATTGCAGTAGATCTCTCGTTCACAATTTATGCTGGCGCTAGTTTCCCCAGACAACGAGAGGAAACAGAATTTAATCGAATCCTGAATTGTTTGCTGCCCCACACTTACAGTCTGGCGTCAATCACTCATGTCCCCTTCTTTGTATTGTTGTGATTGAATACTGGGATGTTGCATCTAAACACATACAAACCATATCCTGAACTATATGCATTTCCACTTTACTCACCTTCGCTTATATCGTTCTACTTCACCATCCATATGACGCTATCCGTGCAGTATTTCCTGGAGAATGGCAGTAATTTCCCCTCTGTAGTTCCCGAGGACGTCCAGAAGGAGTTGGAAAAGTACTCAGTGGACTGTTGCAAGGCTATGGGCTTCAACAGAGGAGCCTTCCACGTAGAGTGCATATACACAGAGGAGGGTGCTCAGCTGATCGAGGTCAACCCTCGTGTGGGTACGTGTTGTATTGAGTATGTGTTGTATTGAGCAGAGTCCTCGTGCGCGTGTGTGTCGCGTTGTTGGCCGTTCTGGAACGTTTCGAGGGATACACTAGGTGTTGACAATCCGTCCCCTCATACAATATTGATCCGACATGCTGTGTGATTGTCCGTGCCTGGTTAGTTTTCTCGTATATCCCAAGCCTTCGTCCATCACTTGTGAACCGTCTGTGATGCTGCATCCATGGTGTATGGCTTCTAATGTACTCATTTTTTTAATCATTTTTTCACCTCGCGATGTGTGTCTCAGGCGGTGGACCTGACGAGCACTTCCATCTGAGTGTCACGGGTGTGCACATGACCCAAAACTTCCTGCTATCTATGATGGATATCCCCATCAACCCCCCTCGCGCCGACAAGGATCGCAAGTGCATTGTGCACTACGATGTGTGCTGCCCCAAGGTATGTGTGCGCGAGTCCTGTTACTAGCAAATGACTTGTAACCAGTGTCTGTAGTTCTGAGTGTTATTCTGTTGCCACTTAAACCTAATTAGACGAACGACTACAAAGCTGTAAACATCGTCTGCAGGTCTAAGTATTACTCTGTTGCCTCGATTTTCAATTCGAACTACACTAACGTGGGCGTTTGCATGTTTCCTTTGATGTGGCGGTCATTTGTATGATATCCATGAACACCTGAGAATCCAGCTGCATCAGAAAGGATTTTGCCTGGCATGTGATTTTCTTTGTGGCGTTTAAGTGCATATGTTCCATATATGACACCCCAAATGAATGCAATACGCCGATATCCTATCCCGGTGTCAACGGCACTCTACTACACTGTTAGCCCTATGCTATAGTAGAGCCATCCGCTTGACTCATACTCGTGTATGTTTGGGAATCGAACCTTTGCCAGTGCTCAGTCTTTCTGTTTGTTCTTCTGTACAGACGGGCAGGTTAGACAACCTAAACTTTTTCAGAGAGGCGCTTGAAAACAAGTATCTGGTCAGTCACGAGTTCTATGTGAAGGAAGGCATTGATGTCATTGGCTTTGACACCACCATCCCCCAGGTATGATTTCCAATTTTTAGGAGATATTTTAGGGTTTAGGGTTTTAAAAATCGGTATTGTTTAACGGATATTTTCTGCACGTACAACTATCGTTTAGCTTGATTCTCGCTCCGACTCGGACCTCCCACTGCAAGCTAGTCTCTGTGCTCTGGTTTGATCACTAACCTTGGACATAGTACTATGCATTTGCTAGGCTTATCTCTGTACCACAGCTCTAATATCCGTGCGCTGCGCGTAATCTCTCTCACACAACAGTGGCTGGGTGCTTTGTTCATGGAGGGTGCACCCGAGGAAGCCGCCGAAGTTGTGTTGGCTATGGAGAAGGAGGGTAACCGTTTGCTCGACCTGGTTGAAGTGACGCCTAAGGACATGACAATCAAGCGCAGAGGATCAAGGAAAGCATCCGTAAGTCCGCCCGTTATGCTTTTGTTTTAATATTGTATTGTATTCTTTTATCCTCCGTCGGCGAGCCCAATTATGCGACAAATCCATATTGCACTGTTTGTCTACACAATTTGGCATATGTGTAGCTTCTTGCAACGAGGCTCCTGGTCTTAAATCAGTGGCAATCTATTCTATAACTGCACATGATTCGTACTGCCTTGTGCTAAAACTATACTGCTGTTTGCGGGATATCGTTGTGTCCTCTGCAATCGTTTGATCCGGAGCATTGCGTTGGTACGTTGTTGCCCACTACGTTATCGGGGAAACATTACTCACTATTCCTAGCCGTTTGAAACGAATGTTTATATCTCGTATCCATATTACTTTACTATTGCATTCTTTTCATGGTAGGTGTTCATCGATGGAGACTTGCCCAGCTTTGAGCCCAAGGCTCAACGCAAACAGTCAGTGTCTGACGAGTAGATAAATATGATGCGTGTTCTGAGACCGGACGAATACGCCCCATAGCTGGTATATACAAACTGCAATTGTGCCGTAATGACATTAGAAGGGGTTACTGCAGGTTTCGCTGATGTCATATACGAGTAGCAACAGAACCTCACTAGCAGTTTTTATCAATAAAAGCAATGCAAATGGTTTATCGTGCATAGCTGACGAAACAGCTTGGTTGGTACAGGCGCGTTGTTCGCCTCCAAATGCTACTCTGCCAAATCCGTTTGGCACTTGACGGGCAGATATTGAGTTAGATGTCTGGGTGAATTTAAAGCTAGCATGATTAACAGCAATATATCTGTCGCAGTTTTAAAAATTATGGAAGCATCCGTTCGCAGGAATGTCTAACAGGTTAGAGATAAACTTTAATGACTGTACGTTGTATCATAGCCGACCTCGTTCAAGACTATTTCCAGATCGATACGAAGTGACTCGGTAACAGGAAAAACGGCATGATTAAACAACATAGCAACGTAGCCGACCTCGGTTCAAGAAAATTTAAGATCGATACGAAGTGTGACTGTCACACAATACAATAGCGCGATCAACATAGAAACAAAACCGATCTCGTTCAAGACCGTTTACAGATTGAAGTGACTGTAACACAATAAAATGGGGCAAAGTTATTTCCCGTAATTGCAGTAATGATGATGGAGCTCATGAGATCAACTAACCCGAATACAAAACAACAAGACAATTGAAGTGATAAATTTGGCTTCGCAAGAACAGATAGTGTTGTTGAGTGAGGGAGAAATGTACATATACAAGCCATTCCGGAATCAGTTGCTAACCTGGAATTACTCGAGGCTAATGCATCACCTGCTTTGCTGTGCGGCAGGATTTGATCATATGACCGTGAAGTTTGATTCTCCATGAGAAGAAGTACTAAAATAACAATATACACAGTACAAAGTTTTGAGTCTCCGCGAGAAAATAATCTATCCTTCGTAAGAAGTTTGAATCTCCGTGACAAAAGCTAACAGTAATCTATACAGCGTATAAAGTATGAGATCCTGTGACAAATGTAACAAAAATCTATACAAAAAAGTTCCAATAATCTACACATCGTGTGAAGTTTGAGTCTCCTTGAATAAATGTACCAATGAATAACATTGCATGGAGAAGTCTCCGTGAGAAAAATTGCCAATATAAATCTAGATATCATATGCAGTTTGAGTCTCCATTGAAAAAAAGGTATTAGTAATCTATACATAGTATGAAGTTCGATTTTCGAGAAAAAATGTTCCGATATTAAATACATCGCATCAAGTTTGAGTCTCTGTGAAAATAAGTATTTACCAACATTTAAATCTATACATCGTATGAAGTTTTAAGTCGCCTTGAGAAAATGTACCAATAATCTAGGAATCGTATGCAGTTTAAGTCTCCGTGAGAAAATGTACCAATAAACTATACATCGTGTCAAGTTTACAAAGGTACCAATAATGCTTACATCGAATGGAGTTTGAGTCTTGGTAAAAAAGTATTGCCCAACAATCTAGAAATCGTACGAAGTTAGAGTCTCCGTGACGAAAGGTATCGATGATGTATGTATCGTTTGGAAGCTTGAGTCTACGTGGGAAAAAAAAGGGTTACCAATTATCTCCATCGTATGAAGTTCGAGTTTCCGTAAAAAATGTTTGAATAATCTTTACATCGTACGAAGTATTGAGTCTCCACGACAAAAGGTACCAATGATCTATACATCGTATGAAGTTTGTCTCCGTGCGAAAGTGTCGATAGTCTAGATAATATATGCAATTGGAGTCTTAGTAGAAAAAAGTTCTTAATAATCTACACATCATATATAGTTTAAGTTTACAAAAAAAATTTACCAGTAAACTATACCTCGTATGATGTTTGAGTCTTCGTGAAATAACGTATCCACACCCTATATATCACATGAAGTTATAATCTATACATCGTATGAAGTTTATATCTCCTTGAGAAAAGGTGCAAATAATCTAGGCTCCGTGAGAAGATTTAACAGTATACTATATTTCGTATGAAGTTCGAGTCTTCTTGAGAAAAGGTACCAATAATACATACATCGTATGAAAATTGAGTATTAGTGAATAAAGTACAAATAATCTAGGAATCGTGTGAAGTTTGAGTCTCCGTGACGAAAGGAATCGATGATGTATGTATCGCACGCCTAAAATTTGAGTCTTTGTGAGAAAAGATACCAATAATGCATACATCGCACGTCTGAAGTTTGAGTCTCCCTGAAAATATGTACCTATAATCCATACATCGGATGAGTTTTGAAGCCTTCAAGTCTTTGTGAGAAAAGGTACCAATGCTCTAGGAATTGTGTGCAATTCGAGCCTCCGTGGGAAAATGTACCAATAAACTGTACCAATAAACTATACTCGTGTGAATTCTAAATTTTCGTGAGGAAAAATGCAAATAATACATATATCGTGTGAAGTTTGAGTCTCAGCGAGAAAACGTTCCAATACACATCTGTACATTAATTGAAGTTGGAGTCTTCGTGAGAAAAGATACCAAAAATACTAACATCGCATGAAGTTTGGACCTGTGCGGAAGATGTTACCAATAATTAATACTTTGTATGCGTATGAAATTGAAACCTCTGAGAGAAAAAGAAATCAGAAATCTAGACAAATATGCAATTTGAGTCCCCGTTAGACAAGGTACCAATAATTTATACATCATTTACGGGTTTGAGTCTCAGTGGGAAAAGGTCCCAATGATCAATGCATCGTATCAAGGTTCATGTCTCCGTGAGGAAAGGACATCAAGTTTTGAGTCGCTGTGAGAAAAGGCTTCATTGCATGCTTTCAAGTTGACGTTCGAGTCTTCATGAGAAAAGAAACCAATAATATAAACATCGTATGAAATCTGAGCCTTTGTGGGAAAAGTTACCGATAATTTATGAGTCGTATGAAGGGTACTCATCAAACGAAGTTTTGAGTCCCAATGAGGAAAGGCACTAATAATCTATTTCTCGTATGAAGGCTTGAGTCTCCATGAGAAGAAGTACCAATAGTTGAAGTTTTGAGTCGCCGTAATAAAGGGCATCGATTTCCGTGATAAAAGATACCAATGATCTACACACCGTACAGAATTTTGATTCTCCCTTAGAAAAAGTACCAGTATTCTATGCACCGCAAGAAGTTTAAGTCTTAGTGGGAAAATAAACCAACATTCTATACTTTGTAGGAAGTTTGAGTTGCAGGGCGAAAAAGTTCTAATACTCTATACAATAGCTGAAGTTTGAGTCTTCGTGGGGTATCAAGCTTGAGTCTCAAAGAGAAAAATGTCAATGCTCTATCTATACATTGGTTGAAGTTGGAGTCTTCGTGAGAAAGGGTAAATATAAATATCGCATGAAGTTGAGGCCTTTGTGGGGAAAGTTACCAATAAGTTATTAATCGTACGAAGTTTTAAGTCTCCGCGAGGAAAGGTACCAATGGAATATACATCGTATGAAGTTTTGAGTCTCCCTAAAAAAAGATTCCAACGATCTATTCGTCATATGAAGTTTTGAGTCTCAAGAATTACCAATACTTCATACGTCGTATTTAATTTTGAGTCTACGTGAGAAAAGGTACCAATGATCTATACATCGAAGGAAGATTTGAGTCTCCATGAGACGAAATAACAAAATACACTCCGTATGAAGTTTTGGGTCTCCATGAGGATAGATGCCAATAATCTATACATTGTATGAAGTTTTGAGTCTCTCTGAAAAAATAAATATCAATCGTCGTGTGAAGTTTTGAGTTTCCAAGACAAGAAGTAACAACAACTAATACGACGTATTAAATTTAGAGTCTCCATGAGAAGAAAGAAATCAAGAATTTAAACTTCGTATGAGGTTTTGCGACTCAATGAGAAGTACTAATAATTTAGGCATCGTATGAAGTTTTGGGTCTCCGTGAGAAGAAGTACGAACAATTAAGCATCGTATCATGTTTTGAGTCTTCATAAGATTAAGTACAATTCATTTAAACATCGGATGAAGTTATGAGTCACCATGAGAAGAAGTACCGTTAGTTTAGCATCGTAAGAATTTTTGAGTCTTCACGAGAAGAAGTGCCATTAATTTAAGCATCTAAAGTGTTGAGTCTCCATGAAGTGAAGTACCATTAATTTAAAAACTTCGTATGAAGTTTTGAGTCTCCTTGAGAAAAGGTATCAATGATCTATACATCTTATGAAGTTTTGAGTCGACGTGGGAAAAAGTGTCAATAATCCATAAATCCCCATAGAGGCGCTTCTTCACAGCACGGCATTATCAGTTCCAAATGACAGCGGAATTTGCCGACTTTATATCGAGTATACTGCCAAGAAGTCCATGTGGGTGACACAATACTAGTAATATATTTCATACAGTTTCTAGTATTAAAACTCGTACAATTTCTAGTAATATAATTCATATAACTACTAGCAGTATAATTCATACGAACAATAGTAATATAGTCCATACAATTTTCAGTATTAAAATTCATACAACTTCGAGTTATGTAACCCGTACAATTGCCAATAATATACTTCTTACAGGCTACAATTGATATAATTCATAAAATTTCCAGTAATATAATTCATACAATTTCCAGTAATTTAATTATACAATTTCCAGTAATTTAATTATACAATTTCCGGTAGTATAATTCATACTACTACTAATGACAAAATTCATACAACTTCAGTAATATAATTCAGACTACTCAAGCAATATAATTCATACAATTTCTAGTATTATGTTCAACACAACTACTAGCAATAGAATTCATACGATTTCTAGTCATATAATACACATAGCTTCTATTAATATAATTCATACAATTTACAGTAACATATTTCATACTGCTACCATTAACATAATTCATACAAATTTTAGTAATATAATATTATATTACTACTGATTTCATACAACTTCTAGAAATGTTTCATACAACTACTAGCAATAAAATTTACACAAATTCTAGCAATAAAATCCACACTACTACTGGTAATACAACGTGCCAGAAAGAAAGTATAAACAGTAATTCAAACTAATCATTGCATATTTATATAAAAACTTTCCCACTCTCAACACCCCCTACTAACTCACAACCTTCTGCGAGTCGAGTCAAGATTTGCAACCGAACACGACCGGACTGGCAAACCCCTATTGCGGCGGTGGAGTTATCGTCAAAACTTTACGGGGCTGTCCTTGACCACGCCTCGTATTCTATTAAAATGATACAAAGAAATGCAATTCATATTAGCACGTATGCCATGATATAGGAATATGACAAATTACGATTAGAAACCATCCCACACCTCACATGCAGTCAACATACCATTGCAGGGTAGTGCATCGAGCTCCCAGGTACAAACGCGCCCGCATTAACATTGGTATTGCCTCCCTGTCCACCATCACTCCCATCATTAGCTGTTCTACTATTAGCATTCATCGTATCACTGTTGTTACCAAATGGCATCGCAAAGTTCGGTACAAACTGATTCTGATTATTACTATTAGGCGCAAAAGTGTCAGACGAGGGTGGACCTAAGTCACTGGCAATGCCTACGCCGCCAGAACCCCCGGATATTGCGCTGTACGGTCCCATCGATCCGTATTGTGCCATAGATAACGGATTGAAGCTGTGTAAATACCGCAATTAGAGAGTGAGCTTGTAGTTGTTGAATGTACTTTGAGTGCTGCTAGCAAAAGCGTAGCCTGTACCTCGCTACGAACAAATGGTTAGATTTCCGCAGAGAACAAAAGACAAGCACATAGAATCAGTCGGCACTTGGGTCAGAATTACGACATCCGGAATGGTCGCAGCTTTTCAAAGATGGCGGTTAAATACAAGCGTTAGAGAATGATATGGAAATGGATCAGCACTAGATTATACAAGAAAGCATGTGGCCTTATGCGATGGTAGAAAAATAATAACCGAAGAACGGACAACCGAAGGTTAACATTGTTACCTCTTGCGGAATTGTGTGCAATAATAGTGAGACGGCCGATGTATTCGGACGATTATACGTCTATCGAAATTACAGACATACACAAGTTCTATAAGCTCAGTAAAGCAGATGTTGGATAGAGATTATACACGAAGCAAACGCAATAGGGAAGGAAACATCGGACAAGAACCACAGACCGTGATGTGCGCCAATAACGACATACACTCCGCACACAGACACACCACCAAAAAAACCACCGGTAAGGCACAATACTATCTGTTGGTAGAGTGAGATGACCATGCCATAATAACATACCCATTCATATTGTCCGAGGAAGGCGGGAGGTAGTTGTTCATACCACTCTGCTGCATGGCATACATGAACTGGGCCGCCTGTTCAATACAACCGCAAGACAAGTTGAGTGGAAGATATCAATACGATTACAAGTTTGCACGGCATCAAAGAGGTTCAATTGACAGTTAATACACATCCCGGAACTCTGCCCGCGAATGTAGACTAATTCGTACTAGGATGCAACACCTGGTCTCAAATCCCAGACCCAGACCTCAGCAAGGATACGGCAACTATACACTTTATGCTGGCGAGCGATTTGAGACTAGAGGCAGGCAGCATTCGCGTCTAGAGACCTAGAACGATACCGAATTCTCAAATACGGCTTGCAGTATTGACATTGGTTGTGACACATTACTCGATTGTGCACACATCACCATACTGTGTGGTGATATTCGGAGACAGCCCTATGCCCAACATTCGAATATACACGATGCTAGCAATATATATATAAAAAAGAAAAAAAACTCAGCACCAGCCTTCACAGTGACGCGCAAGGACAGTCAGTCATATACACAACAACCACACCAGGGGCTATCAGGTCTGACATGCCGTGGTTTATGGCAATCAACAGAGCCACTCAGAGAAATACAGTCGGAGGTACCACTCTGTCTGACACAGCCATCGTTATTCAATAAGTAAGCAGGTGCAGCACATACCGACAAATCCAGATCATTAGACTGTGCCCATGGCATGGTGTTCATATCAGCAGGCGAATACGGCATGTATTGGTTCGTCGGGAGTGGGCTAGGTCGATCGTTGAACCTGCCTGCGGTGAAGAACTACACACGCCGCATAGGGAAAATGGCTATGAGTCCAGATGGTGATTACACGCGTGATTGTAACAAACTCCAGCATGCGAGTGCGCCCATACAACATGTAGTGTGTGTATGAGGTCGCGTGATTCATCGAACGTCTGGGGCTGTATATAGAAGACTACTGAGAGGAGTCCACAAAAACCTCTCAGATGCTCCTCTTGCGTCGAGGACTGTTCATCCATGAGTGAGAAGGCGTGTACATTCCAGACACTACTTTTACAGGCACAATGACGCATGCATCCACTTCAAATATAATATGCGTGCACATGTACACCCAGCCACAAGCCCCGTAAACTCTTCACTTAATACAGAAAGTGGCACAGAATGCACCTACATCACAAAAACAAAACTCGTTTGTACGATACCTACTCCCACATGAAAATCTGGGTGGACACAGATCCCGCACAGAATACTACCACTCACCTTATTCGAATTAAACCCGCTCCCGTACTCCGTAGCATTAGCATTCAGCATGGACCTAATGGGAGGTGGACCGTTGCCGCCGTTGTGAGAATTGCTAGTATTACTACTGGCCATGGCGCTGTTTCCATCGCCCGCCCTGGCCTGCTGCGAGAGCAGGAGTTGTTGCTGCTGAGCCATTTGCTGTACCAAACCTTGCTGGGTGATCTGGAACCGTCTCTGCTGTTGCTGCTGTTGCTGCTCCAGTTGCAATTGCAACTGAAGTAGTTGTATAGTCTGCTGTTGTTGCAGGTCGATGTCTGGCTGAGGAGAAGTCTGGTTCTGGTTCTTTAGCCTTTGTTGTTGTTGCGCCTCTTTTCTCTGTGCCTTCTTAGCATTAACCTGTGAGCCTAAATCATTGGCATTCTGTTGTGGTGGTGGCATCCCAATACCGACAGAATCACCCCAATTCTCGGGCAAGTTCGTCGCCTCTTGCAACTGTTTTTGTAGTCTCTTCTCCTCTCTGAGACGCTCCTTCTTCTCCCTGTTCTTCTGCTGTTTTTTCTGCTTCTGCGTTAGCTTTTTGTCCGCCACTGACGGCTGTGTCAGCGGTGCTTCGTGTGCGCTCTGTTTATCCTGCTCATGACTTCGCAGCGGGGATGAAGGCGATTGCACCTGCTGTTGTGGAGTTTGTTGTTGTTGCGGTATTTTTGCTGAAGCATTGGACTGCGGTTCTTCTGTTTGCGGTTGTTGTTGTGGCAGTGCGGTAGCCCCTTTCGTTGGTAAAAGGGGTCCAGCTTTCGCATTCTTGTTCTTGATTTTGTCTTGTAGACCGGGTCGCGCCTCAGAATATCTCTGAGGTTTCCAGCCACTACGGAAAATAGGAGGGATACGAGCAAATTTAACAGTAGAACGAAATAACTCTAAATCGGAGGGATACGTACGGATTTAACAGTATAACAAAATAAATCCTAGATAGGAGGTATACGAGCGAATTTAACAGTAGAGCGAACTTAATTCTCGACCACCGATAGTAATACGGCGTGCGTTGACAAACGCATCTCATACCAATTAGCCGCCAGCAAGAGTAGAAATGAGAGGTGTTTACCAACATATTCATTACAAATCTGAGGCATATACAACACATGCAAATATTTTGAGTCAAGGGCACACCCAATGATTTACGCGAACGCAACAGACGGCGAGTCAGTACGAGCGTGTAAACAGTAGTCGCAGCTCAAGTTATTCATACGCCGAAGGATGCCACGGCGTACGCAGAGATCACCAAATCGAAATATATACAAGTGTGGAATGCGATGACAACGACGCATCGCAAAGGCATAGACAGAGCATAGACACACAACTACAACAACTTGAACTAAAGCTTTAAAAAGAGCGTATGTACACACTCACAATATATTATATCATAAATATGAGAACAGCATGCATACACACCTCGGTTCTTCATCGTCCTCTATATATTCCTTGGCGTGGACTAGTAGAGGCTTCTTGCCGCTGCCTTTGTCACTCACCATACTACCGCCAAATCCACTGAAAGTTGTAAGCCTCTGCGTGCTGTTTGCCGGTACCATGACACTGTGCCAGCTCTCCACGTTATTCCTCTTAGTGTGTGTTCGCTCGGGTTGTACGTTGTCTTGCAGCGCGTCTATGATACACTGTGCTTGCTTTGGTTCCGCAAGAGGCGGGAACTCACCGTCGCCGTCAAGGTTTGTAGTGTCAGTAGCGTTGTTGTTCCTATTGTTGCCTGAACTATTACCACCTCGACCGCCTCCGCCTCTACCCCTACTATTCCTGGACTCCCGCTGATTATTTCCGTGTCTCTCCTCCCGATCTCCATTCTTGTACTTACCATCATAGCCATTGCCGTGTGTTTGTCTTGATCTACCATGATTACTACCGTTATATTCATGCATACGGTTTCGTCTAGGTGGCATGGTGCGCTCGTGCTCCTCGAACATATCATGCGACCATTTTTCTGCTCTATGCGCGTCATCTTCGTCCCACAGTTGCCTTCTCCTGCGTCCGGGACCACCTCCTCGACCGCCACCAGCTCTGTTGGTATACCAATTCATCAAATTTAATAGTATTAGGGACAAGCGAACAAATACACGGAAAAGTGCAACGAACTCTAATCGTCATCAAGTGAACGATAAGGGCCAGCAAAGCGAATAAAAAAATGGCATGCGATCGAACTCGTACGCAATTTTTTTCTGGGCATGGAAATGCACGATAGTGAGTCATCAACCCACATAAAAATATCGAGCAAAATATATATAGTGATATATGTCTGTGTGCGTCTGTCATTTACGTAACTAGGGTATCTGTGTATCCATACATACATACATACATAGATCGTACATACATACATATATGCATACATACATACATACATACAATATATATATATATATAAATATATACCTACAGATATAGCGAATTGTACAGGTACACACACACACACACACACACATATATGTATATATATAAAATACGGATACGAGTTTCTATACGAATAGAAATAAAATAAGGAATAGAAATATATAGAAATATATATTTAAAAGCTATATACGAAAATATAATATATATATACATGTACACGCACACACACACGCACACACACACGTATATATATATATATGCACATATATACATAATATATATACATAATATATTTATATTTATATGCACATACACATACACACATAAACACATACTTATATACATACACACACCCACACACACACATATATATATATATATGTATATACATACATTTATATACATAGACATAGACACACCCACACCCACACCCACATATATATATATAAATACAGATAAGAGTATCTATACGAATAGAAATAACATAAGGAATAGAAATACAAATTTATATATTTAAAAGCTATATACGAATAGAAAATATACACACACACACACACACACATATATATATATACATATAAATATATATGTATATAAATTTATTTACATATACATTTACAAAGACACGCGCACACACACACACATGTTTATATATAAATATATATATATACACACAAATATATATATATATAATATATATATATATGTACATATACATATATATATATACATATACATGTATATACATACATACATACATATATATACATATATATATATATATATGCCTGCATGTATAAGAGTATGTATGCATTCACGCATACCAATGTATCATTTCTATAGAAATTGAAGACAGACCGTGGACACAGGCAAGCACATGTTCATAGGCTTGAAAACATGTGTAGAAGTATGCATTCACCTAAAATAGTGTGGAAGTGCACATGACCTTCAAAATACTGAGCAAATAACCTGAAGTATGTACACATATACACTCTCCATACAATCATAGATACTAGACCGTATAAACCCACCCTGCCACTAACAAAACAACCCAAACAACACACTGCCATCTCGTTTCAATACTTATTAAACATAGACATACGATCGGTCGTCGTGGTGATAGAACTTCCCGGCACGGGGTATATCAAATGGTTTGGCCTCCTCCTCCTCCTCCTCATCGCCCTCTTTCTTCTCGTCGTCTTCAGCGTCACCGCTCTTACCTTCATCAGTGCGGTCCTCTCTCTCGATATCACTGTCCCCCACTGACCCCCCCTCACTTTCCCCTTCATTCTTTTCATCGTACCACCCTCTCGGATCGGCCTTAGACTTGTGTGCTCGCGTTTTTCGGGACTTTTCGGGTTCTTTCACACTTCGACTGTCATCACTATACACGCTTTCTGCTTCGGATTCTTGTTCTTGTTCTTGGTCACTATCACTGAGTACCTCCGCTTCACCATCTTCGCCTTCACTCTCGACATCGCTTTCGTTCAGGCTTTCGCGTACACGCCGGCGTCTCCGTGGCACTGAGTCACTAACATCGGATTCCGAATCCACATCTGAATCTCCTTCAACGTTCGACCCACTGCCACTGCCACTTTCATAGTCACTCTCACTCTCGTACTCACTATTGGAGTCCTCTACGCTTTCTACTTCGCTATCTACAACCTCATCATTCTCATCCATACTCTGTGAGTTATCTGTAACAACCTCCTCTTCCTCAGAGATCACTGATTCGTTGTCAGCAACCTGTTCAGCTTCAGTACTACCCTCGATCGAACCATCAGCATCTACTCGCTGTGACCGTGTTGACATATCTGTGGTTCCCGTTGTATCCTTTATTTCTAACTTTGACATTTGCTCGTCAATATCTTTGCTTATACCCGTCATAGCGTTGTCTACCACAATATTTTCATCCTTCGTCATAATTTTATCATCATTCTCCTTCTCGCTCATACTTGCTTGTGTATCTGCTTCCGCTAAGTTATTATTACTAATGTTTCTATATTCATTATATTGTGTGTGTACAAATTTATCATTCAATTGAACAGAAGCTATCGATGGCCCATCAACATCTATGTCTTCTTGCTTTTCTTGCTCCACCATACTGCACTTAAATATACCTATACATATACATATATATATATATATATATATATATATATAGATATATATATGCAAATATATATATATATTTATATATATATATTATTATATATATATATATATATATATATATATATATATATATATGTTATTATATATAGATTATATATATAT